GAAAATGATATCAGGTCTTTATATAGCCCGATAACTTTTAGACGTGCAGTCCGTCGTTCTGAATACGCTTTTCAGCACCTATTTCAGGTTCGAAGAAATATTTTCCTGTGGTCTAGTGGTCAGCGTTCCTGGATACAGATCCAGAGGTCCGGGTTCGATTCCCGGCGTTACCAGGTTCTCTCTGAGAAGTAGCGGGTCTGAAACGGGGTCCACTCAGCCTCGTGAGGATCATTGAGGACCTATTTCAAGGAAATAGCGGCTCCGGTCTAGAAAACCGAGATTAACGGCCGTGTGGATTCCGCTGACCACGCGACACCATCTATCCGCAAAAGTTGGCAATAACTTAGCCGACAAGCGGCGGTCGCTCGGTCGGTATAGTTCGCTTGAGGACTCAAGCCGCGGAGTTTGTTTTTTTGTTATTGGGTCCAGAAGGACCCATGAAAGGCGGGGACTTCCTTCTTAATCCGAGAGACCGTTAGCTTCTCGAGAACACCTCTGCTCCGTGGAGTTCGTTACGTGATTTTAATCTGAACGAACAGATGCATCCATAACGTTGGGTCGGGGCCAGCCCTGACTTGAGCTGTTATCTGTTCGTGAGTGATGCTGAATTACCACGAAGGCCAACTCCCTTCTCACTAGAGTTATTTTCCCACGATTCTTAAAATATTTGATACAGTTCGTGCTTTAACGTATGGATGCAACATAAACATATTTTGTCTCGGTTGACTGCAGTTTAGTGCATGAGTGCTGCAAGTTGTAGCAACTAACGTAAAGTTCTTCCTGTGCACTACGCCATGAAGACGTATGAGGGTGTGCATATGATCTCGACACTAGTTGGCGGTTAGTGGTCAGCTTCACGTCCCGGCCGCACTACCTCTGGTACCAATTGGATAGGAAGCCTGTGTGGGCCCCAGAGCCGGTCTGTTTATGCGTGGAATTTTCAGCTTCGCAATTTGACCGGAAATTACCATCACCGTTATAAAACAACAACAATAATAATTGAAATAACATACGTTCTCGTCAAATTTTCATAGAAATGTATAAATTGGTTTAGCAAATGTAAATCATTATTTTCATGTATTCTCGGAATTTTCTCTAAAACAACGTAGTCGGTATAGAGACTGGCTACTGGTTGGACGGCAGATCAGTCGGAGTTCGAGTCCCAGTGGGTACAAGAATTTTCTCTTCTCTACGTAGTCCAGACCGGCTCTGAGGTCCACCCAACCTCATGCCCAATGGGTACTGTGAGGCCCTTTCCCTGGGGGATAAAGCGGCCGGGGCGTGAAGCTGAACACTCACCTCCAGCTAGTGCCGAGGTCAAGAAAATCTGGATCTATACATCCATTCCCCCATACGTCTTCATGGCGTAATGCTTAATTAGTTAAGCACAGGGACAACTTTAACTTTTTTTTTCTCCTTGGCACAACAGCCCCAGTGGGCCTAGGCCTACCTCCATGAACTTCTCTGTTCACTTCGGTTTTTCTCGATCTTACACATTCGGTAGGACTCCTTGGGCGAGTGATCAGCTCGTCGCAAGGCCTCTACCTGTACACAAAGACAGAAAAACACACACAAACATCCATGCCCTGAGTGGGATTTGAACCCACGATTCTAGCTTTCGAGCGAGCGAAGACAGTACATGCCTTAGGCCGCTCGGCTACCGTGACCGGCACTTTAACTTTTACCAATTGAAAATGTACATTTAACGAGATGAAGTAGCAGTTAAGGATCTGTACTTTTTTAAAATTATTTTTTGATTATCTGTGCTGTTAACCAAATACACAGATTAGAGAACAATTTCCCGATAGTTAGTAATGCAGACCATTGTCCACCCAGATCCACTGCGTGTGGTTTGTGGAGGGACAGACATGCTGATCGGCATCGCTGTTTTCTGAGAAGTGACACCATGTAGTTCGATACGCATTCTGACTCATTTCGAAGGACTGTACTGCTTCTATCATCAGGGTCTAAGAGTAAATCAAGGAAGCAAGCAGAGTGGTTTCGTTCTTCATGCTGGTTGCTTCGGCTCTGAACATGGAAGAAATATGTTCCTTCGAAATATCGGCGAACTTATACGGAACTTGACAGCGTCACTTCGCAGATGATACTCATAGTACTCGTCATGGTAACCGTTGCGAGAACCTCATGCCTCTTTCCCTCCCAGTACCAGATGAAGAAGGTAAACAGTTAAGTCTTCATTATTATTACACTTCTTAACAATTAATTATTACAATATTAATTGTGCTTAGGATTAATTCATACGTGTGTGTATTTATATATTCTCATCACATCAAGGTTGGTACGATTGCAGCAATCATGAACGAACATTGTCTAAATGATGTACGTTGCCTTGTTTTGTTTTTGTGTGTGTGTTTTTATTCGTGCTTGCTTCCTAATTGGCCTTTGGACTGTTGAGTAAGCAACCGAAATAAATAAATAATTGAATTGAATTATGACGATGACATGTTCACTCAGACCGATTTGTCAGGCCGTCATGTGCAGAACACAATTGGCACAGCCTGTGTGCCGCTCTGTCAGTGTTTACATGTGGACTGACGTCTACAGTGGACGGAGACTTCAGGCTAATACTTACAGCTTATTTAAGCGGCCTCCTTAGTCTAGAGGTAACGTTCCCACCTCATGACTCGTGGTACGCGGGTTCAAACCCGGCGGAAAAATTCAGGGAACAAGTCCTCCGGGAGGGACTTTAAGCCGTGGGTCCCGTGTCGTAGCTTTACGGCACGTAAAAGAACCTCGTATCTCTAAAGGAGGTCACAGCCAAATTTAAGGACGTTTCCCGCCCAACAAGTAGTCTCTAACACCTCTGATAAATGGGGGAAGCATTATAGATACCGCCAAGCTAGTGGAGGCCGAACTCTCTGGCTCGGTCGGGACTGATGGTACTCACCAATATCAGTAGGATATAGAGGCTGGTAGAATATCATAGAGGGAAGCACAATGGACCAATACTGGTCTAAGTGCATGGGGAAACCCACCCTCTCCAATAACTAACTAGAGCTTATTTCAAGGCGACAGCGGGCTCAGGAAGGGGTCTCAATATCATCTGATAACTTCCTTTCATTTCCTGCTGAGACTAGCTGGAACCATGACACCTTAGCATGCTATGGGATTCAGTAGCTACTACCGTTATCCATATCCTCAATTACTTAATTTCCACGCCATGACGACATGTTGGGGAGTGGCTGTGTAGCTCCACAGTTCTTGACCTCGGTACTACGTAGAGGTGAGTGGTCAACATCACGTTTCAGCCGCTTTAGCCACAGGGAAAGAGCCCCTGGTACCCACTGGATAGCAGGCTGGGTGGGCCCCATAGGCGGTCTGGACGCTGTGGAGAGGAGATGAATATCTTGACTCTGCCGAGAATCGAACCCTCGTCGTCCAGCTCGTAGCCAGTGGCGATCTGACTGAGCTATGCCGGCTCTGGTTCTGTGTGCAGCTACTACTTTAACACATGAAAACTGCAATCTACCCACAAAGTGTGCTTATGTGTTCCGTATGGTTCTCACAATAAACAGCGACTGTTTCCCTAAACAGCATTAACCGGTTGGGCTTTGTAGCGGAGACGTAATGTGTTTCCTGTGAGGTACGGACTGAATTTCCATATATTTATTAGAATAAATTCAATCTTTAAAGGTTTAATGGATGAAATTGCGAGATATAAAGGCATAAAGCAGACGGGCGAAGTAAATTCTATAAGCGGTTTTACATCCATTTGAACGAAACGCATATAAAAAAAGCGGAAATGGGAGAAGCAAATGATGGTGAACATATGTGATGGTGACGTCATGCGTAGCATGTAGCCCACTCTGGCCCTCAGCCACGCCTTCTTGCAGCAGTGTTTGTATTTATGTGTAGACTGCATTATGAGAAGTTCCAGATGGCAAACCTGCAATGTATGCGGTGTATTTTACTTGTGTATGTGTTGAAAGTTACGCTTTGCATGTGTGCGAAAGAGGACAATAAAGAAATTAAGATAATCCCGTAGAACGAAATAGGCTGCACTCCGTGGATGAGTTCTTGTACTAAGACTCTGAATCTCTGTGGAGGTTGTGCTGTCTGGGAGCAGCAGATTAAGGGTTCCTGTTTCGGAACTCATTCTGCGTCCTCATACATCCATGTTTCTGTTTGTCGAGTTGCATCCAGATGTTAGGTTTCTAACTTCAGTATCTTCTTCTACTTCTGCAGGACAGGAGAGAAAACGAAGTTCAGAAATAGACATGCCAAGGTTAGGAATCGAACCTGAATACCCAGTATCACTCACTCATGGAGCTTAGCCCTTCTTTAGAACCTACCAATTCTGCAGCTACTCAGGAACTTCCCAGCATTTTATGAAACCCGAAGGTTCGTTACCGTGTCCAGAAGAGTCCTCCACTGCTCCATATCCTGAGCGAGATCAATCAAATCCATACCATCCCTTCGTATCTTTCTAAGATCTATTTTAATATTGTCCACCCGCCTATGTTTTCGTCTTCCTAGTGGTGTGTTTCCTTCTGGCTTTCCCACCAATATCCTATTATTATTTTTTTATTGCTAGTGAGGTGGGACTAAGTCCCATGTACTGAGGCCACATCTGGTCACCAACGTCCTATATGCAGTCCTCTTCTCTCCCATTCGATCTACATGCCCTGCCCATCTCATCCACCTTGACTTGATCGTTCTAATTATACTTTGCTAAGAGTACAAGTTACAAATCACTTCTCATTATGCAGTTTTTTCCAACCTCCTGTCACTTAATCCCTCTTCGGTCCAAATAGTCTCCTCAGCACCCTGTTCTCAAACCCCCTCAGTTTATGTCCCTAGAATATCCAGCATAGAGGCGGTTTTAGAGAAAACTGTTATCTCGGGAACGAGTTTCGGAGACCTGCTGTTTCCAAAATGTTGATTTTGAAGTGACATGAAAGCGACTGATCTACAGAGAAGCCTCATATCCCGCGCTCTTGTATAATCAGTTCGAATTAAGGGAAATAACTTTGATAGTAATGAAGAGCAGCTATGAACGTAATGAAGACCAAGAGAGCAGCTATGAAAGTAATGAAGACCAGGAGAGCAGCTATGAAAGTAATGAAGACCAAGAGAGCAGCTATGAAAGTAATGAAGACCAAGAGAGCAGCTATGAAAGTAATGAAGACCAAGAGAGCAGCTATGAAAGTAATGAAGACCAAGAGAGCAGCTATGAAAGTAATGAAGACCAAGAGAGCAGCTATGAAAGTAATGAAGACCAAGAGAGCAGCTATGAAAGTAATGAAGACCAAGAGAGCAGCTATGAAAGTAATGAAGACCAAGAGAGCAGCTATGAAAGTAATGAAGACCAAGAGAGCAGCTATGAAAGTAATGAAGACCAAGAGAGCAGCTATGAAAGTAATGAAGACCAAGAGAGCAGCTATGAAAGTAATGAAGACCAAGAGAGCAGCTATGAAAGTAATGAAGACCAAGAGAGCAGCTATGAAAGTAATGAAGACCAAGAGAGCAGCTATGAAAGTAATGAAGACCAAGAGAGCAGCTATGAAAGTAATGAAGACCAGGAGAGCAGCTATGAAAGTAATGAGGACCAAGAGAGCAGCTATGAAAATAATGAAGCCCAAGAGAGCGGCTATGAAAGTAATGAAGGCCAAGAGAGCAGCTATGAGAGTAATGAATACCAGGAGAGTAGCCATGAAAGTAATGAGGACCAAGAGAGCAGCTATGAAAGTAATGAAGACCAAGAGAGCAGCTATGAAAGAGCAGCTATGAAAGTAATGAAGACCAAGAGAGCAGCTATGAAAGTAATGAAGACCAAGAGAGCAGCTATGAAAGTAATGAAGACCAAGAGAGCAGCTATGAAAGTAATGAAGACCAAGAGAGCAGCTGATAGCTGGAATTGTAGTGAAAATAAGACTGTCAAAACATGATAAATATTGCTTATAATTTGAGTACATTTTTAAAAAGTCGCCAACTCCGATTAAAAAGGATAGTGAAATGTCTCGTGACGTATTTTGTACTACAATAACCCACTCGAAACATGGATGTCTGTGTGTGCGTTTATTCTGTTCGTATTGTTCTGTGTGTAGGTAGCGGCCTTGCGACGGGCTGATCACCCGTCCAGTGAGTCCTTCCGTCTGTATATAAAATATTACGAAACTGAAGCAGAGGCCAGGGCCCAACAAAGGGCTGTAGAGCCATTGATGAATGAACTAGAAGCAACACGTCTTGTCTGAAGCCATAGCAATCAACACTAAGCTGATGCTACTGTAGCAACGATTATCACAAGTCACTTTAGACCCGCCCTTGCGATAGTAATCAGTGAGCGCTTAGGTTAGGTAGGGGAATGATAATAACGCTGTTATTAAGAAATTGGGTGCGAGCATGCGGACTGGATTTAGCTGTCCCAGAATAGAGCCACTTGTTTCTTGTTGTGAAGAGCAGCGCTGTTACCAGCTTCTCAAGAAGAACTTTGCTTCATGAAAATTGTAGTGGAATTAAATGTGATTAGGTCCTGTCGAGCAAGTCTCTTGCACTATAATTTGGATTGCTCTGTTCGTTAGGTGTGATGCTATCGCTGACACTTAATCCAGCGACCAGCTGCATTTATCTCTACACCGACTGTGCAGTAAAACAAATTTATGGGTCGAGTAATGGGCCATATAAAGAGAGCTCAATTTAAACTACCAGAAATTAAATTTTGGAAGAATTGCTAACGATTATTGAGAGGACAGGGGAAAGTGTACTTGAAACTAAGCAATGCAGAGGGTGAAGTACAAAACGTTGTAGTAGTACAGACATGTAGAAAGAATAGGGGATCATGGGTGGCTGAAATAATTAAATCGTTAACCAGACGTCAAACCAAAAGTATAATGAGAGAAAGGAGGAGCCGTAGAAAAGAAATAAAATACAGATCTAGGAAGCTATAGAATTACTTTATAAATGCTCACTTCCCTCCTTCATATTTGTCTCTTTGCTTGTAAGAAATTTACAGTCTTATTGAAGGAAGGGATTTGGAAGGAACTGACTGAAATGATTGACAGTTGTGGAGTATGAGGCAGAATAATCTGCAGAATCCAAATCTACAAGCCGGAAGGTCGCGGGTTCGAGTCCCGATGAGGTCATTGGATTTGTTCAGTTGACCTAGTCCTTCCGGCCGCACTATGGCACTGGGGTCGACTCAGCCTCTAACAGAAATGAGTACCAGGAATTAATTAAATAATTTTCTTGGGGAGTAAAGCGCGGCCGTCGCGTAAGGCTGACAACCTTACCGCCATCTTTGAGACGATTGTCTAGATAGTGTGGGGCCCTCAACGTCTCACAACCCTATGGGCCTTCACTGCCTGTTACAGAGATAGCTTTACTTTTTTACTTTTTAATGGTGACGAAACAATAATTAACATTCGGTGAAATCTGGTTTTTAATCTGTTTCTTTATGGTTTAAGACCTTTGTTTTATAATGAAGTTAGAGATATTTGTAGAAGTCTTTTGGAACAGTGAGGAAGCGCCCAAGCTGCTTCCCATTGTTCGTTCATAAGTTACCTGCTCTGGAATATGGAGCGCTGAATTGCTGTTCTGTACACTTGTATCTAATCCCGACTTTCCTTAGTGAAATCGAACCTAGTGCCAACATTTGTGTTAACTGGACCTCACTAGACACAGAGCCTAGCCACAGGCTTCAGATGTTTCATAATTACCTGAAGCCAAACGCATATCTTAAGCACATTAACCTAGAACTGTAAATATTTGCAGTAGCTCCTTGTAGCACGAATGGGGGAGACGAGGAATGCGTATAGGATATTGGTGGGAGAGCCAGAAGGAAAGAGACCACAGGGAAGACCAAGGCGTAGATGGGTGAACAATATTAAAATGGATCTTAGAGAGATAGGATGGGATGGTATGGATTGGATAGATCTGGCTCAGGATAGGGACCAGTGGAGGGCTCTTGTGAACACGGTGATGAACCTTCAGGTTCCATAAAATGCTGGGAAATTCTTGAGTAGCTGCAGAATTGACAGCTCCTCCAGAAGGGCTCAGCTCCATGAGTAAGTAAGCAAGCTCCTTGGGTAGGATAAGAAAGTCTTGCGGGCCTTAGTTTGCGAGCCCCCCGTCTGTAATCTACGTATATGCCTTAATCCTTTGAAGCCCAGTAATTTTATATGTACCAGCCGCGTTATTACCCCAAAACTCTGCATTCTGAGCACAATGTATATATGTGTTTCGTATGATTCTCACATTAAACAACGAGTTTTTCCCCCCTAAACAGCCTTAACCATTTGGGCTTTGTGGCGGAGACGTAATGCTTCCTGTGAGGTACGAAACGAATGTATTATTTAGTATACGCGCGGTCTTTAAACGTATGAGTTGGCGCTTCTGAAAGCGGTGACATTGCTGTATGTTTAGAAGTAATCTCGGGATCTCTTTATATATAGATTATCAATTAGGATAATATATTAAGATATGAGCGAAACAAGTAGCACTATTTGGAGAAATGAGAAATATGCCAAAGAAACGTATTTGAAAAGTCTCAAGGAAAGAGGCTGCATTGGAGACCTAGAGTGTATCAAATATTAAATTGGACGTTAAGTATACAGTGTCAAGACGCGAACTCGATTCCACTAACTCAGAATGGGATCCAGTGGTGGGCTGTAGTGAATCTGCGGGTTCCAAAACCGGCATGAATTTTCTTGAGTGGGCTGTTCCAGTGAGTTTACATGTTTAAGGTTTCAGGACTGCCACGTGTGCTATGCAAAATATTCGTCGAACAAGACTGTGGAATGCAGGTCTCTTATGCACCATTCAGTTGGTAGCATTTCTTTCATAAATTACGCTTATAAAAATAGAAATAATAATAATTATTATTGAATTCTTATTTATTTATATGCTAACCCAACAGCCAGAATGCCAGTTACAAAATGAGCACAAGTAAAGAAAAAGAAACAAACCAAACAAAATTACAAAACAAGGCAGTTTATAGCAATTGAATAATAATTTAATATTTGTTTACGTGCAAACTTTTTCTTTATTGCTAGTGAGGTGGACTAAGTCCCTTGTAATGCGGCCACATCTGGCCTATTATACCAGCCCCAGATGATAGGAGAGGGTGATTGAGGAGCAATTGCTGGAATGAAGATTGGCAAGGAAACCGAAGTACTAGGAGCAAGCCTGCCCCAGCGCCACTTTGTCCACCACAAATCCCACTTGATCAGACCCGAGATCGAATGCAGGCCGCCGCGGTGGGAAGCCAGCGACTAACCGCTTGAGCTATGGCGCGGCCCTAAGTGCAGACTTAATAGTATAGAGGCCAATTACAATGCTAGCACGCGTACATAGAAATACACAAAACTAATTAAAAAACAAAATACAAAATATGACAATCTGTATAATGACAATAAATTAATAATAATTCCAAGAAAAATTAAAGTTAGCGTTAACAGGCGAGAAAAATAAAATAAGTATAAGTATATTCCAATGGTTATGCCATTCTGTGGCGAGAAAAGGCAATACACGTATATACACGCATAGAAGTTAATAATAATAATAATAATAATGTTAGCAATAATAGTCTCGCAGAATTATTAACCCCTGAAGTCAACATCTGAGTGGTACCCATTCGCCTGGAAAGCAGGTTAAACCGCCAGGCCGGGCAGAATATGAAAGGCAGTAAATTCATGTCGCGGACAACAGGTTTTGTGGACAGTCTAAATTGCTTGCTTGACAATGAGCTTGTGCTACCATAACTTGGGCGGGCATGCACAGGGACTATCGATCGTCGGCTGAAAGCTTGAAGCTGTGGGTTCTAGGGCGGACACTTCATTGAAAAATCAGACTGCACCTCCTGCCTTTGCTCTGTGCGCTCTAAAAGCAAGCAACTACACAAGATTTCCTGACTGTATATATTAATATACATTTCGGAAATATAAGAAAGACGCGCATTTTAAACTCCGATTGATCCATGTCGTTATTAATGTGCTGGAGGAGAGAGTTATTTCTTTCAAGCATAAAGCGCACTGAAATGTCACTGGCAAATTATTAAAAACAAACTTAATACAAATACATAACCACAGTAACTAAAGACGTTTGATAATACAGTTACATTTACACCTAAAATACTAATCATGTTAGGGAACAGTATGCATTCTTCAGCCCTAAAGTTGGAGGCGATATGTTTCTCCGAAACGTCTGTTTACTTTCAGCTGACTTCACCGCTTAATATCCCGGAAGGTAGAACTCTTCATAACCAGCCTGTGGGGATGTCGGATCCTACATGCATTAATAGTTTTGATGTTAATACAAGCGTGGAAACTTTTCGAACTCTTGAGGTTGTATCAAACAATTATAAGGCAGTGGGTATCACTCACTCATGGAGCTGAGCCCTTCTGGAGGAGCCGCTAATTCTGCAGCTACTCAAGAACTATCCAGCATTTCATGGAACCCGAAGGTTCATAACCGTGTTCACAAGAGCCCCCCGCTGTTCCCTGTCCTGAGTCGGATCAGTCCAATTCATTCCATCCCATTCAATCTCTCTAAGATCCATTTTAATATTGTCCACCCATCTACGTCTTGGTCTTCCCAGTAATCTCCTTCCTTCCGGCTTTCCCACCAATATCCTATATGCATTCCTCCTCTCCCCATTCGTGCTACATGCCCTGTCCACCGCATCGTCCTGGACTTGATCATTCTAGTTATCCACGGAGAAGAGTACAGGTTCTGAAAGGCAGTTTGTGTTAATGCAGGTACTGAAGGGCGGTACAATTCAGAGCTCTTCCTTGAACTTCGTAGTGTAGTAGAACATTGTGCTCAGTTTTATGGGCAGTATAGGAAAATGTGAAAATTCTGAACCCTTTGAAGCCTGAAGAGATACGAGAGGAGGGGGGGGGGCTAGTGAGAGACTACATTTAAGAGGGGGGGGGGAACAAACATTTTCCGG